GCTCTTATCTAAGAGTTAGCAAACTGTACCTTTACTATCTACATAAATTTGTTTATGTGATTTTTTTCTGTTACTACTTCAAGCCATATTAAATAATTCTTTGAAAACTGCTTTGAAATTACATATTTACAAAACAATGTCAGAAAAATTTTATTACCTTCCTGTTTTCATTTGTAATTGGAATTTTATCACCATTTTCCTTTAGATCATACATCATTGGGTTACCAAAGAGATCTGTTTGTGATATCTGGAAAGTGATCATCATATCATCTTCCACATTCCCTTCATATTCCAATAAGTCCTTTAAACTCTGATATAAAACCTATTAATCAGAAAGAGCAGTGAGGCTACCAAATGACTTGTAAAAGACATTTTAAAAAAGAGAGACAGTGTAACAGCTTGTTTTCATTCCTTTTAGAAACAATTTGTCAATAAAAATGAAGCCAAAATTATTCCTCCATCTCCCAAATAGTTTATTAAGGCATAAAGACTGTCACTGAGCTGGGCAGTGGTGGTGCACACCTTTAATCCCAGCACTCGAGAAGTAGAGGCAGTGGATCTCTGTGGGTTCGAGGCCAGCCTAGTTTATAGAATGACTGCTGTAACAGCCAGAGCTACACAGAGAAATCCTGTCTTGAAAATAGCAGGAAAGAAAAAAGGGAAAAAAAATTGTCACTGTCACTGATAATGTATCAATCTTCGTTTAGAAATTCTTCAAATCGTCAGCTCAGCAACATATTTCATACTGGGCTCTAGAACATCTACAGTGTCTCCAGGCTGGAGGCCAGGTACACAGAGAAAAAAAAAACCACATCAGCTGTATCTATCAAGGACCAAGCAATGCTCATTCTACCAGGCAGTCATAGGTTACATTGAAAACAATGTTTACAACATTTAACTATGCAGTCAATCAAAAGTTGCTTGATGCAATCTATAGAAACAATACTCTAAAAATTTAAGTGTTCATTACTTAAACAGATTAAAAGAATTTTTACCACACTGGTTAGCAGTATGTATTGACAAAAGATCTCCCCCCAAAACATATTTTTATATGAATTAAGATGTACTTCTATATTTATATAGCATCTTAGAGACTATTTAAAGAATGACAAAGAACTTACTGGGTGAGAGTCTCCCAAGTCACGAAAGGTTCCTTTTTTCCCCATTAGCTTCCTGTAGACAACCATGGGAAAATGGACATCCAGTATACAGTTATTGTAAATAGCCAGACCGAGGACTATGCCAATCAGAGTAAACTGACCCTCAGTCTCAAAAGAAGATGGATTAAACCAAAATAATTTTGTAGCTTCATCATATGTGAACATACCTATAAAAATAAGTTTTAAAATAATTTGTACTTTTTGAAACTCTACAAATTTAAAAATAATTTTGACAAAAAAATAACAGAATTTTAATGGAGTAGATTTTAGTTTTTGCTATTACATGCATGTAAGAAAACTGTACAAACATAGTATCTGATTATCATTAAGTGTATTAATTGGTGGAATACAATCCTAAGAACACAACAAAATAAAATAAAATGCAATCTGGGTAACATTTCAGGAAAGGTATTTTTAAAAAGCTTTATTAAATTATTCAAGGCCAGATTTTCATTGACTAATGAAAGGTTAATTTACAATCATATTTTAGCCACTTGACTGAAACTTACATAAGAAGCAAACTCATGATCAATTACAAAAATTAGATAAAGTTGATTAACTTTAAGTTACTTAAGATACATATCTAATGTGAGCTAATAGTTTAAAAAGGCAACTTTATAATCTTTCATCTTTATATGATCTTCATTATTCAAAACCAAACTTGAGAGACATTTTTCCTATCATCATTATTTCATCTACGGAGCAGTAATAGAGATGTCTTTTTTTTTGGGGGGGGGGACATCAAAGATAAAAATATTTAAAATATATTCATATGCTTTTTAATTTTTCTAAGTTCATTTTCAGTTGCTTCTCAGGAAGTACTTGTAAATTAAGGACTAATATGCTGGGGGAGAAGGAATTGCACACATTAGCAGAATAAGGCAGGAGGAACATGAGTTTAAGGCCAGAAAGCACTAATATAAAATAAAAAGACTATCCATAACCAAAACCAAGACCAAAGGAAACAAACCAAAGTAGGTTTGGGAAAGAACGTTTTTCTAATGGAAAAAGATTATTCAAAACCAAATAAAACAGCATTAAAATGTACATTTAAGTTAATTTTGTAAGAATTTTGAAAAGATTTTAAAATGTTTCATTTTCATTTTCTATTTTAATGAAAAAGAAAACTACAATTTTCTCTCTAACCTGTAGGAGTATAAATGAAGTCTATGCTTTTTCTTGCAAATTAGTATTTGTGAAATGCTGGTTTTAAAATTATCCAATTTATACTTAAGTTCCACAGTTTTAAAAATATGTATACATTGTATGTGTAGTTATTTATTTGCAAGCCAAGTTATAGATCCATGGAGTATCTAAAACTTCAGTTGACAAGCAATAAATCTGACAGAATGTCACAAATGGATGATTTTGTTCTCAAGAACATTAAGCTATAAATTAACCAGAGTATAAAATTTATAAGCCATTAATCTCATGCCTTCAGTTGTTTCTAATCCACCATTCTAAGATTTTCCAAATTAAATTTACCAAAAATTGTTCTCTACTAGAATATTTGGCTAAGTAATCTAAGGAAGAACGTGAATATGTGAATGACAGATCAGTTCCTGAAGCATACATATTTGTTATCTGTAATAATTATACTCAATTCTTTTGTTATTTATCATAGCTGAGAATATTCTCAAAACAAGTTCATAATTCAAAAGACTAACATATCATAATCATATCACTAACACTTACCAATATCTGGATTAAAGATTTCCTCCACAACCAACTGAAAAAATTCTTTGGAAACACCTCCCTCATCCACTCCTTGTTCTCCTTCAAATTCCACATACAACTGCTTCTTCAAGTCTGCAGGATTTTCCATAGCAATCATCTCTAGCTGTTGAATGAAAAGATAAAGAAGACTGATGATAATAGTATAAAAGCTAAATGCAAGTTAAGTAGAAGAAAACAAGGAATATTATTAAAAGGAAACAATTTTGTTTCTGAATTAAAAACAAGAAACAAACTGACTCCCCCTCCAAAGAGTATGGTAGAGTGCTAGGGACATGGCTGATTAGGTAAGAGTACTTCATCTGCAAGCATTAAAATCTCAGTTTAAATCCCTAGTATCAATGTTAAACTCCTGGCATGGCCACTCATGACTGAAGTGTTACTTAACACCAGCAACATGGTGGGGAACAAGTCAGAAGATCTCTAATGTTTGCTGGTTAGACAGCTGGTTAGTCAAAATGGGTGAGCTTCCAGTTCACTCAATGATCTTATCTAAAAGTGGAAAACCACCTGACATCACAGACAGGCTTCCAAATGTTCACGCATAGGTACATACATCAGCACATTCATAGGCATTAACCACAAACATACACCACACAACACATACACACAAAACTACCACTAAAGAAAATAGTTACTTCTAACTTATTAACTAAATTTTCTATTATTATATTTTTATATATTAATATAATCCACAGAACAATACATGAGAACAAGTTGAGGCAGCAAAATACTTAATTGATTGCCTACTCACATTGTCATTTTAGCAAAACCAAGCATAGAAATGTGACCTATACACTGTTTACTAGTAGAAATTATAGTAGACCTATAAATAACTTATACATGGAAATGTAAAGAGTTAAGCCTTCATGCCGGGCGTTGGTGGCGCACGCCTTTAATCCCAGCACTCGGGAGGCAGAGCCAGGCAGATCTCTGTGAGTTCGAGGCCAGCCTGGGCTACCAAGTGAGCTCCAGGAAAGGCGCAAAGCTACACAGAGAAACCCTGTCTCGAAAAACCAAAAAAAAAAAAAAAAAAAGAGTTAAGCCTTCTTAACCACCATGTTATAAGTGAAATAATTTCAATTAAGAAATACACACTGGAAAGCCAGATGTGGTAGTTCAGGCCTATGAGACAGGAAAATCATAAGTTCTAGGAAATCTTGGATTACATATCAAGACTCTGTTGTTAACATAATTCCCCTTTTGCCAAAACAAATTTATAGTTGTTGCCACTTTTCAGTGGATTATAATGTGGCATGCAATATCCACATTTTCACAAAGGCTGGTGAAACATACACTTCATATCTTAATTCTTCAGCTAACAATTAGCCAAAACTGCTCTACTAGCATTAACTTCAGTCTGCTATGAAATTAATATTAAATTCTAATGTGTTATGTTTAAAATGTAATTTATCTACTTAAACTTCACAGATAGTATTCATAACTAATTATTCAATATATTTTTAACATTGTTTCCAAACATGTTGGCTTTAAAAAAGTAACATAAAAGAAGAAAGCTTGGCAAAACAATATTTAAGGATGTTCAAGATTGCTTAACTAGTCCAAGAGGAATTTTAAAAGGGCTTTGAAAAATGTAAATGGCACTAGAGTAAGTATACTAGCTTCCTAAAGCAAATTCCATAAACAACAATAGTTTTTTGGATAAGTGTCTATTTAAAAAAAAAAAAACTAACTAGAATCTCATAAATTCAAGAATCTGGCCAGGCTGCCCTAGATCTGTTTTTGAAACTGTGCTGTAATGGTTTGCAACCACTAAGAAGTTTGAAAAAAAAAAAAAAAAAGACCCAACACATCAGAATGCATTCCAAAAGGTAATAGGACCTACTATTTTTGGCAAGATATATTTCAATATATAGGTATATATTTTGTTTAAAATGCTATATTTTTCTTAGTAGGAGGTGTAACCAAAACTTTTTAGGAAAAAACAAATGGTTCAAATTAATTCCTGGATATCTTCAACTTTGGGGTTCTAGGATACTATGATTTTTTTTTTTTTAAATCTGTCTTGTTCTTGTTTAATTCATTTGTATGTCTTCATGTGTGCAGATACGTATGTGTGATTACACCTCAGATGTTATCCCTCAGGACCTGTCCACTTTGCTTGTCAACGGAGAGTCTCTGACTTGCCTGGAAGATTGAAGATCAGCACAGGTTATACTGTCAAGAAGCCCCAGGCATTTGCCAGTACCAGTACCTGACTACCTAGTATCAGGGCTGCAATGCCCACTCCATTTTTCTCTTCTTTAACAGAGTTTTGGGGATTAAACTTGGATCTACTGTGAGCACTCTACTAATTGACCTATCTTCTCAGCTCACATACATCATTTTCAGGTCAGTATTTATTGAAAATTTATTTTTGAAGCACTATTTTGTTGCTGAATATATAAGAAACCAAATACTCTTTTATAAGTCCTAAATGTTACTACAGATTAACATTTAATTATTAAGCTCCCTAAATCTTGACAACTTTCTAATGTACAAAGAAAAAAGGTAATATTCTCCTTACTACAAGATGGTAAAAGTTTAAGAATATATAATTTCTATTAAGCATGCAAAATTGGTATGAACTAATATTATCCTTTAAAATATAGTTTATTTCTTAAAATCCACAATTTTATGTCCCCCCAAAAGATCAAAAGGTAGACTAGTTCTGAGACTCTACAGTCAAAAAAATATGTAGATTCAAAATTAACCCTGAAAATGGAAAAGAAAAGCACACTGACAACAGTGCTAATTGAAAATTTGTCTTAAGAATAACTTTGAAACTTTGAATTTCAATGATCCCACACAACATTACTATTACTGTGTGACCCATCTCAGTACTTTCTTCCAGTTCTCAACTTGCTAAGAATTTAAGAGATTTAACTAAATGTTTTCATTTGTTTTTCCAACACAAAAGCAAAACTTCTTTGATCAAATATTACTAAATAGGAAAAAAAAGCCCAATATTTATGCATTTGATTGCTTTTTCTATTAAAACATGTAAATTATTTGATTCAAAAGCCTGTTGGTATTCTTAGCCCATTATGATTCAAATAAGACAGTATATGTCTGTCCATTTCTATCAATCTCTACTCTTTTTTCCCTCAATACTGGTTACCAGAATAATACTGTATGTTCTATTTTGATCACTGAAAACGTAATTTTGTCTTTTTTGGCTTTGCTTTGAAATATAAAGTAAACATAATATAGTATCAAATAAATTAATATGTGAAGTGCTTAGATTAATTCTCTAACATTAACTCTGGCTATAAGCTTGTGGTTTCAAGTACTATCATTCTATTAATTTAAAAATGTTCCAGGCTCTCTACACATGGCAACACATGCATTTAAACCCAGCACTTAAACTCTGTTAGTTTAATGCTGTTTCATCTACATCGAAAATTTCAGGCCAGTGAAGGCTATACATTCATTCTCTATCTAAAATAAGATTAAAAAATAAATAAGTATTTCCAGTTTTGTCAGAATACTTAACCAGAAGATTTTAAGACAAAAATTGTTCGGGAATAAGAGCAGAAGAAGTAGTATATAAAACTTATGAATTGGGGCTAGAGAGATGGCCTTAGTAGTTAAGAGCACTGGCTGCTCTTCCAGAGGACATGGGTTCAATTCCCAGCACCCACATGGCAGCTCACAACTGTCTATAACTCCTGTTCCAGGGAATCTGACACCTTCACACAGACATACATGCAGGCAAAACACCACTGTACATAAAATACAAATAAATAAATAATTTTTAAAAAGACGACTTTAATTAAAAAAAAATTATGAATCACTTTACAAATAAAAACTGGTTTGATTATCTACAATCACCTAGCAAGCAGATGGCTAAAATCAATTTACAGATGGAGCTTTGAAGTAATAAAAGGCTGACTAATTTAAGAAACAGTAATTCAGAGAAGAGAGGTTCTAATTCAGACAGCAAGCTTTAGACTACAGTTCAACTACTTCTCCACAGAAACTAGAGATAATACTTGTTTTTAGATTTTATGTGCCTTTTTACTTTCTTCTTTGGCTTTTTACAGTCTTATCAATACTCGCATATTATTTTCAGAATCAGGGCGTATTCGAAGGTTATGATTTAAAAATAGTTGGCAACTTAATTCTGTAGGTAGAAGTGTCCAATTAGCTATTTAAGAAGACCATTCTCAATGCGCCAAAGTGATTTTGTAAATTATTATCTTCTTTAAGATAATGCACTAGTAGCCTATCTTTCTAAAAACTGTGACAACAAAAACAAAACATATTTAACAATAACCACTGACAGAAGCCATTATCATAAGTCACATTAAATTTTCTTTTTCTTAAAAATAATAACCCTTAAAGCACACACACACAAAATTTAAGCCATCATTTTGTCAGTCAAAGAATAGTATAGGAATTAAAATTATAGTTATATTACTTTATATAACAGCTTTTATTTAAAACTGAATTTGTAAAATCAAGTTTTTTTTATGTAGTTGGGAAAATGAAAATTGTTGGAATATGTCAGATAATTTTCAAAATAATCTGTAAGCATCCTTGACCTCATTAATTATACAGCAATGGATTTTATATGTATTTATTTCTTGATATATAAAATAGATAGTATTGCCATAATAGACAGTTACTACTATTATTATACTGTATTAAAATACTGTGCCACTTCCTAACTCGGCTTCCTTTCTGATTAGGAATTCTTGCGCTTAATAACTGTTAAAATAATTTTAAATTCCTTAACTTTTAATTGGCAAGACAAATCCTAAAGAGATCATTTGTTACAAGGTGACCTGATATGAAAGTATTCCCAGAACTCTAAGTAGGATAATATATTGATGCAAAACATTCTATTCCTGTATCTTCAAAGGTAAAAATATTTTTCAAGTTCATTATTTAAAACATTTAGACATCCTGAGTTACTACCTCAAATCCTATGTTGACATAATTTAAAATAAAAGAAAAAAACTAGGGATTTAATTATTTAAGTAGAAGCAGCACTTAAATTAGTTCAATAGTGCTAAGACTCTCCAAGAAAGGTGTTTTATAAACTTTGGTAAATAACTCTAAGATAGTGATCACAAATGCAATTACCTTGATGAATTTATTTAAGTTTTTCATGATATCTGTAAATAAATAAAGACCAGTCTGTTGTGCCTTAAAGTTTAAGTGGGTTATAGCTGAGTCAAATGATTACATCTTAGGTTCTAAATCCAATTATGACATTCATTTCTGCAAATAAAAATCTCTCTAAAATTTATTTTCCTCACATGAAATAGGAGTTTAATGAATTTTATTATTTTACATTATTATATAATGCTAACCCTTTATAATTCTGACTATTTCATTTCTCATTCTCATTCTAAGAAATTAATTTGAAGATAAAGTGAGGATTCCAATCATTTCTATTAGAATAATTTTAAATAATACTAATTACCCTAAGCACAATTTAATTAATGAATGATTGATAGAATTAAATACAAAGCACAGAAAACCCCCATTATTAAAGCACTATAGGCCAACTGATTAAAAAAAATCTCAAATTCATGTAGCAATAGGTATTCATACTAATAGTAATTATGGAAGCTGAGTTAGACAATGCTTCTAGATCCCTAAATAAACAGGGTTAGTGACTCTGAGAGGAAATTGGGCAACAAGTCTCACAACTTTTTCTTTTAACCAACTTCCTTCATCTGTGTGTGCCAGCTCCTGGTTTTTAGACTTTCTTTTCCAGTTCTACATCTTAACCATTCCTTTTGATCTTCAGATTAACCATTTAAAATTCTATAATTTACTAAATTTAATCAGGTACTATAATACCATCAACTCCTATTTTAGTTACACTAACTTCATTATTCCTTTTAAATATTGGCAATATTCTAAGCATGTAAATTAACACAGCCAATAACCTATACATATAAACTGTACTAAGAGCCATTTCCCAAATATTGGTCTGCAGCATAGATGTACTTTGGTATGCTAAATATTTTGATATCTAACGTACAGACACCAAGGCTTCATATCAGAATCCCTAATCTGAATTGCTAAAAGGCAAAACCTTGATTTTTTGTTGCTGTTGTGTTTTTCATTTGGGCAGCTCTCTGTTTAGACTGTGAAATCAGTCTGAAGCAATATTGTCTCTTCCTTGATACAAAAAATCTTGATCTCCTACTCCTTTAAAAACAAAATTTTAAGATTGTATATATACTACATCCCTCAAAAAGTTTTGTTCAAAAGGGAAAGAGAACATATGTTAATTATTTACTGGGGAGTAGAGGGACACATGTAGCACAGCACACACTGGAGGTCAGAGGATAAGATTTGGGCTTCAGTTCTTTCCTACCATGTGCATCTAGGGGATAGTCATCAGGGTTGGTGGCAAGCGACTTTTACCCACTAAACCATCTCAGTAGTCTAAGGGGGAAAAAAAACAACCTTCCACACTAGAACTGTTATCATTCAAATGGAAGAAGGATTCTCATTTATATTTATTTCTACATTATTTTCTAAGCAATAAAAGCCAAAAATCAAGGCTTGGGAGAAATAATGCAGATTTTTTTTTTTTCCCCGCTTTAGTAGGAATAAAATAGTACTTTTTAAAAAATAGTACCTTGTACTTAATAAAATATTTCAAACACTAACTATTCTCTTGTCAACAGTTCCTCTAAAAGCACCAGTTAGGGAAGAGTTGTTAAGACTGATTTGAATTTAATAACACATGAAAGCAATGGACATACTTTGGTTTAAAAAAAAAAAAGAAATTGACCAGGGAATTTAGCACTCAAAGGGAAGCAGAAACAAGATAATCACAAGTGTAAAAAAAAAAAAAAAAAAAAAACATAATTATTAATTCTAGTTTACTGACCTCTCTACCTTCAAACTAGCAAGTCTAATTAATAACTGTTAAATAAGATTCAATATAAAAAAATCACATATGCAATCTTTTCTAAGCCTCATTTGTAAACTAAGGAAAAAAACTTATTATCATCTTCTCACCTCTTAAGTTTAGGGTACTGTAACTTTATTTATTTATTAATGATGAATTCATGGCAGAACTTCTCTTTTCTTCTCTATTCAGCCTTAATATGCAGTTCAAAATGATTAGGTAATAAGCAAGTGTGATCAACAGGAATTATTTTGTCAAGCATTTTATGAAAGAAAGCACAAGGCTTAAAAAACAAAAGGGATGCGTGGAAAATAAGACACGGAAAGAAAGCAGTTCATCAGTGGGGATCTTATTAAATACTGCTTGCTGTAAACGTCCTTTCTATTACTAATCTAATGTGACTTACTGTTAATATTGTTTGGGGGGGGTGTCATGAATTTGATCTCTAAGGCCCGTGTCTATACTTACATTCTAACCCTTTCACACTGGTATGTTGAAAAAGAAAAAGAAATCTGGGGATGGGAGTTAAAATGGTATAGGAAGTCGAAGAAGAGAGGAGGAAAAGTAGGGAAGGAAATGCTCAAAAAATACTATTGTTTATAACTGTACTGCATATCAAAGAGACAGGCACACAAAATTGATGAAGGCAAGGGCTTCTGCAAACTGGTACTAGTCAAGTACAGATATTATCTAATGAATTATGATTTATAACATGTCAACGCATAATTACAAAATTTACTGTTGATTTTATTCCAATACCTCTTTAGAGAAAGAATTTTTAATACAGAAATGGCTAAATTTCTCCTAAAACATAACTTTAAAAACTGTAAATACTATCTCAATTTTTACTGGTTCTTACCATCATTATATTATAGAAAAAAAGGAGAAAAGGAAGAAAATAACAAAGGAATCAGGTAAGAAAGGTAGACAATTTTGGTTAAGTCTGAATTTAGTTCAGTCTTATTACTTTTCAGATTTAAACAAATGCATACTAAAACAAAAATACATTTTCAAATAAATACTATTTGTTAGCTGTTATGCGTTCTTATTATTTGTTAGTGTATAAGGGTGATACTTCAATTAGAACAGTGCTAACTTTTACATCAAGTTCATAGACAAAGAACTAGCACTGACAAGAATAATTAACACCACAGAATAAAGACCTAAATTTGTTAAATATAATTCTGTAAAAATATGACTGGCAATTGGCAAACCAATTTTATTGCTTAATTGACAGGGACACTGCAATTCTTGTCACCTTTAGAAGAAAGAAACAGATAAGAAGCAATACCACTTGAAAAAAATTCAGGGAGTTAGAAGTACCTGACTTCCCAGTTAAAAATTCTAGATTTGACTGAAAAATTGATATCATTAATCCCAAAGTCTTCCAGAAGTCTCAAGACTTTTATTATTACAGTGAAGAAAAAAAAAAATCCTACAGTGTTATGTAAGACAGAGTGGCTTAGACTCTAAAGTCTTACTGACAAAATGAACCAAGCTATCTTGGTCATATTACCAAGTTCACAATAATGAGTTTTACATAATGAAATTTGGTAGGCACCTTTTATACATCTAAAATTCAGATTTTTGCATTACTTCTCCCCCTATATCCACTCTTAACACTAGGTATGACATTTCCCTTTGTCATGTGTTTCAGTATTCCAGTCTTTGAAGTCTTTTTCTTCTGAATGAAAATATATGGGGCTGGCTTTCAAGATTTAGAAAATCCATTCCTTTTTTTATTTTTTTCCTTTTTTGGTGTTTTGAGACAGGGTTTCTCTGTTTAGTTTTGGTGCCTGTCCTGGAACTCACTCTGTAGACTGGGCTGGCCTCAAACTCAGAGATCCACCTGGCTCTGCCTCCCAAGTGCTGGGATTAAAGGCGTGCGCCACTACCACCCAGCTGAAAATCCATTCCTTTTTAGTGCTTTTTAAGTGTGTGTGT